TGCAGAAAAGATAGTCTCTTCAACAAATGGTGCTGGAACAACTAGACATCCACATGACAAAAAAGGAATCTAGACACAGACCTTACATGCTTCACAAAAATTAACTTAAAATGGATCATAGACCTAAGTGCAAAACACAAAGCTATAAAACTCCTAGAAGATAACATAGGAGAAAACCTAGATGACTTTGGATTTGATGATGACTTTTTAGATACATTGGACTTCAATAAAGTCTAAAACTTCTGAGCTGCAAAAGCCACAGTCAAGAGAATGGGAAGACAAGACACAGACTGGGAGAAGATATTTGCAAAGTTTAATAAATTCATTTCTCACAGAGGCATGGACTTGCAATTCTGAAACTACTTTATTTGTCCTAGAATTGAACAAATAAGTAAATATGTTATGAATAGTGAAACTCCTGTAGAGAAAGGAGTTCTAAATAGGGAAGGGGGGAAAGTTAAAATGAACTCTGGTGTTGGATTAGAATTGGAAGCATCATTGTCAACTCATCATGTGAGCGTGTGTGTGAGTGCATGTGTGTGTGTGTGTGTGTGTCTCTATTTCCCAACTTTGACTGCTGAGAAGGACTAGAAGCAGTGATATCCCAGTAGCAATGAGCAGTCCTAGCTCCCAGATCTTTGTTTCTAAATACCATTCTCCAAAAAAGAAAGAGAAAGAAGGAAAGAAAGAAAGAGAGAGAGAGAGAGAGAGAGAGAAAGAGAGAGAGAGGAAAGAAAGAGAGAGAGAGAGAGAAAGAAAGGAAGGAAGGAAGGAAGGAAGGAAGAGAGGGAGGGAGGGAGGAAGGAAGGAAGGAAGAAAGGAAGGAATGGAGGAAGGAAGGAAGGGAGGAAGGAAAGAGAGAGAGAGAAAGAGAGGGAGAGGGAGAAAAAGAAAGAAGAGAAGAAGGGAAGAAAGGAAATAAAGAAAGAGAGAGAGAGAGGAAGGGAGGGAGGGAGAAAGAGAGACAGAGAGAAAGAAAGAAAGAGAAAGAAAGAAAGAAAGAAAGGGACAGAAAGAAAGAGAGAGGGAGAAATAAAGAAAGGAGGGAGAAAGAAAGAGAGAGAAAGAAAAAGAAAGCAAGAAAAAAAGCAAGAAAGAAAGGAAGGAGGGAAAGGGGGAGGGAGGGAGGAAGGGAGGAAGGGAGGGAGGAAGGAAGGAAGGAAGGGAACCAGGCTCCTAGGAGAAATGACTGATTCCAGGGATTGGAAAGATAAAATACGAGATGAGCTTGGAACATCTTGTGGTACCAGAAAGTAAGAAAGTGCTAAGAAAAAAAATAATAGTGAGAGTATGCCAAAAGGACATAGGTGTCAACTTGAAGGTGCTCTCCATGGCAAAGATGGAACGCTTTGAGCAAGAACATAATAATGATGGTATTGAATTATAACCCATGGATGAAAATAAGTACCTATTGATATAAAGAATTAATTGAATAAATAAATACAAGGAGAAGCTCTTACCTGCAGTAGAATTCCAATTCTTAATGTTGAAGGAATGAGGGAACAAAAAAACACCAGTAACAATTGTTGCAGGCAAGTACCATGGATTCATGCTAAAATTAGTGAGTGGAAATATGAAGAGAAATGGGATTTTTGCATGGTCTCAAAGAAACTCCCCACAAGATAATTACCAATTACAGAAGGAAAAATAATAACTTTCCAGTGGAGAAACCTGGCAGACGCCACCTTGACCAAGGGATCAAGGTGAACATCAATAGTGATGAGATCTATCAATATCATGTACCATTGATAAGATCCTCTGAGAAGGGCACAACATAACTTCTGTGACGTTCTTGCCAAACATGCATAACCTCAATCTGGTCGTGAGAAAACATCAGACAAACCCAAATTGAGGGACATTTTACAAAATGTAAAATGCCCGACCAGTGCTCTTCAAAAGTTTCAAGGTCACAAAAAGCAAAGACAGACTAAGGAGCTGTGACAGATTAGAGGAGACCAAGGAGACGTGAAAACTACATGCACTGTGGGATCCTGGATTGGATCCTGGACCAGAAAAAAGACATTAATAGGAAAACATTCAAATAAGTTCTGTAGATTAGTTAATAATGTTCTTTGCCTGCTTTCCATAATTGTACCACGGCTACATGTAGGACGGGTGAGAGGTATACAGGAACTCTTCTTTTGTAAGTTTTCTGTAAGAGTAAATGTATTTCAGAATAAGAAGTTTTTTTCAAAAAAAAAAAAAGGAGTAATGAGTAATTTTTCCTCACAGGAAAAATTAGGAAGCAGAGAGTGGTAGAAAACTTTCCACTATCATCCTGATATTGAAAACAACCACCACCAATAGATCGACTCTTTTACTTATCAACAATTGAAGAAAACTTTTCTGAGCACCGACTTTGCTCAAAGCCACTCCCATTGAGCTCGTCCGTCGTATGTAAGATTGCAACCCGCCCTTCACCCACTCGCAATCCTGCTGCACCTGACCCTTCTCTAGTGCTTCTTCCCCATCGTATTGTCACCACCTGACAGACTATATAACTTACTTGTCGTGTCTTTTGTCTACTGTCTGTCTCTCCACTAAAATGTAAGCCCCGTGAGAGTCGAGATTTCGTTTCGTTCACTGATGTACTCCAAATGCTTAAATTACTTCAGGGGCCACCAGGATAGCTGGGGGGCAGGAAGGGGGGCAGTTTGCCTACTGTAGAAACGACAGTGTCCCAAAAGCTGAGGTGCTTAAAAAAAGGCGGAGGTCTAGCCCATCGCCTCTGACCTTGACTTAGGCCTAAAACAAACATCCACGAGCGAAGATCCCAGATTATGGAGAGCGAAGGAGACTGACAGAGATCTCTGGAGGTTGTATTGACTTGCTAGGGCTTCGTACTAGGTACAAAGTACCACACACTGAGTGGCTTACACAGCAGAAACTTATTATCTCACAGTTCTGGAGGCAGAGATCAAGGGGCCAGCACTGTTGGTTCCTTCCCAGGGCTGTGAGGAAGAATCTGTTCCAGGCCTCTCCCACAGCTTCTAGTGGTTTCCTGGCCATCCTTAGCGTTCCTTGGCTTGTAGACACATCCCTCCAGTTTCTGCCTTCATCTTCACATGGCGTTCTCCCTGTGTGTGTGTGTCTCTGGATCCAAATTTCCCCTTTTTATAAGAACACCAGTCATATTAGATTAGCGCCCACCCTAATATCCTTTTCTTAACTAATCACTTCTGCAAGACCCTGTTTCCAAATAAGGTCACCTTCTGAGGTACTAGAAGTTAGGACTTCAACATAGGAATTTTGTGGGGGATGCAATTCAACCCATAACAGGAGTCTAGCACTTGAAGTAAATTGTGTCTTCAAGATTAAAGAGCCTGGATGGCTGTTAGCATAGATTAGCATTAGCATATAATTAGCAGAGATGAGGTTATGCTGCAGTCACTACCAATCTCAATGATCAGTGGCTCAAAACAACAAAAGTTTGTTTCTCGCTCATACTGAGTCCACTGAGGGTCTGTGGGACTCTCCAGGACAGGCGCACTCCATGCCGTGACTCAGGGATCCAAGCTGCCTCCGTCTTCCAGTTCCTCCACGAGGGGCAGAGAAAGGCTGGCTCATTGCAGGTGGTCTGTACCTTGTTTCAGCCTAGAAGTGACCCTCAGCACCGATGCTCACGTATTGCTAGCCAGCACCAGTCTCCCGGGCCTACACACCCATAAGGGGGCCTGGAGAACGTGGGGAGCAGATGGAACCTTTACGAACATCACAGCCTCTGCCACGCTGACTTTTGGGGACTGGTGTCAGTAGCATTTACTTAAGGCTGTGTGTACTTAAGGTGTCGGTAGTGTTTACTGAAATTCTGAGCATGTATTGAAGGACAGGAAATAAGATATTTGCTTTAGAAATTAAAGCAGGAGTCACTGTGTCCCTGAAGACTGAGAAGAAAGAACAATAGATCCAGGGAGCGTCAGTCAGCTTCATCTCCAAACAGGTGCGGACGGGGGACGAGGTGGAGGCAGTACTTTGCGGGGGGCTCCAGGACAGTCTCTGGCTTTTCCCAGAAGGAGAAGACGAGGACAAGAAGAGGAAGGAGGAGCTAGAAGAGAACGTGGAGGTGTTGGGAAGGGCCCATCTGCCCCATTGCACCCTTTTCCCTGCTGGGGTTCCCCAGGGGCAGGGAGAGTCCTTCCCACCTCCTGAAAGGCTCACTGGGGTCCTGGCACTTTGTAGAGGCTTAGTATGCACTTCCTGTGAATGAATGATTGACGGAATGAATGAAAAACACAAAATGCTCTGTTTCCTATGTGCATTCCTATGTGGCGTTTCCAAACGCCACACTGAGCAGAAGAAAGAAGCAAAGAAGTTCCCGTTGGCCACACAAATGAGTCCACAGCCTGCAGTGGCAGGCGCCCCTGCCCTCTCCTGGAAGTGGTTGCAGGGAGGAGGTGACCAGTGGTCATACCCTGAGCCCGTTATTGGAATTTACTCAGTCAGAGTGAGGCCTGTAGGAAAGATTACAAAATAATCTAAAATTTTGGCATCAGCTAATAGCACGTAAGGTTTTTCCATCCTCAGCTCTGTCCTGCCAGCTGACGAGGGGAAGTGAAGGGGATTACCCAGGGGCGTGGCATGCCAAACTGCGAGTCCATCAATTGGCTGCACCCCACACACTCCCCTGCCCCACCAGCCCCCAAGCTCCCAGAGGGAACAGCTATTTAAGGGGAGCTGGAGTTCAGAATAAACAAGGCAGTCGCTTGGAGGTATCAACTCCGACATCTTCTGAGAGGTAAGTACCCAGAAATGAATGCTCTGTCAGGAGTGTAAGAGCCCCTGCTCGTTGGCTGCTTTTGAGAGTGGCTGTGTTGTGTGTGTATGTGTGCATGCATATGTAGATGTACATGTGCATAAGCATGCACGCATATGATTTGGTATGCACAAGAGGGTATGCATGCACAAGTGTGTTGTGTAGGTGTGTGAGTGTATTGCATGGAAAGATGCCTGCACTAGTGCGTGAGCTCAAGAGTGTGTGTGCGCATGCATATGTGTGTGAATATGTACGTGTTTGTGCATGTGTATATCTGCAAGGGATTGGAAAGTCTTGCAAAGAAAGGGTGCTGCTTTCATTCTGGAGAAAAATATTGGGGATCAGATCCATGGGTGCGATTCCCAAGCCTTGAATCCAGTGTGGGGACAAGTAAGCTATGTCTAATGGGGGACCCACAACCTATGACCTTGGGAATCTCCCAGTTTGCGGGGATGACCTGGCTGCAACCTTCCAGGAACTCTCAGTCTGATGAGGAGCACGGAGGTCTCGTTACTGTATCACGATGGGTGTGAGGCCTGCATGTGTGTGAAAATGTTCAACAGAGCTGGGAAGGTTCAGGAGGACGTGCGTGTGCACACTCCCTGTGCACCGTGTGTGTGATGAAAGTAGTCACCCTGGCCCCCGCCTGGGATTGGGGAGCATATCTGCGCCTTCGCTTGAAGACTCCCTTCTCCAGAGTTGTCGAGAGTGAGCAGGAGAGCGGGGAGCCATGGCAGAACGTGGCACCACCTGGGAGAGGAGTCTAGGCCAATCCGTCTGCATTTCTCCCACACAGAACTGTTGACATGAAGACCCTCCTGCTGTTGGCAGTGATCATGGCCTTTGGTAAGAGCTGACCCCGACCTCTGGCCACAAAGGGGCAGCCCGGTGAGGCAAGCACCCCCATTTTCCTTCCCATTGCAGCAGGCCCTCTCTCAGTGGGAGGAAGGAGAGGCCACTGGGGGAGGGAGAGTAGCAGAGAGAGGGAGAGAGGGAGGACACAGGGCCCCAGGCCCCATCACCCTGCGATTTGTTTCCAGGCCTGCTGCAGGCCCACGGGCATTTGATGGATTTCTGGAAAATGATCTGGTTGACAACAGGAAAGGAAGCTTTGTCCAGTTATGGTTTCTATGGTTGCCACTGTGGCATAGGTGGCAAAGGATCCCCCAAGGATGCGACAGATTGGTGAGGCCACCCCAGCCTTCCCTTCCCTCTGCACACTTGTGGCCCTGGCAGGGCTGGGAGCTGCGAGGGTAGTGCTGGTGCCCCATTGGCACAGGACCCCAGGAGGTTGCAGCTGGAAAAGCAGCCAGCATGTAGGCACCCCTGCTCTAGACTATTTGAAAGTCACTGGGTCTCTGCCCAGGGTCAAGGCAGAGACCACGGGGCACCAGGCGCCCTGGAGCTGTGGGGAGGCAGCCCCAACAGGATAGTCTCATCACAGGTGCTGCGCTGCCCATGACTGTTGCTACGACCGTCTGCAGAAACGCGGGTGTGGCCTCAAAGGTCTGAGCTACAAGTTTGCTTACCGCAGGGGCCAGATCATCTGTGGTAAGAAAGAGTCCTGCTATCCCACCCGGTCTCCTTCATTCGTATCGCTGTGTCCACTGCGCCAGGCACCATGCTGGGCACCAGAGACAGAGATACGAAGGGACAGTGTTCCTGCCTCAAGGATCCCATAGTTAAGTGGGAAGTAAAGAAAATGAAAACACAGCGTGGTAGATTCCAATAGGAAGTAAGCAAAATGGAGAAGCCTGAATACAGGCTGAGGTTCAAGGAAGGTTCTTGAAAGTGGTGACGTCCAAGCTGAGTCCTAACGGCTGTGCAGGAGTCAGGGGAGAGGAGGGTTTGGGGCAATCCAATAAGAGGTCACAGCAGGGTCAAAGCGACCAGAGGGAACTGTCACAACTCTGTGCTGCTGAAGGGAAATGTGAGGAGGAGTGGGGAGAGATGAACCTGGAGAGATAGGAAGGGGCTAGACCAAGCCCCGAGGCCATATTGTCCTTAAATTTTGTCTCAAAGCAGTAGGGAGCTCTTTGCATTTGCATTTCAGAGGACTCACTCTGGCTGCAGGATGGATGGAGACAGATGGAAGGGGGGACCAGTGAGACGGCCATTGGCATAACACAGACAAGGGAGAGAAACAGCCTAACACGTAACAATGGTGGTCAGGATCGAAGGGGTGGAGAGTGACATTAAGATGCATCTGAGGTAGAATCAGCCGAGCTTGGTGACTGACCAGGTAGGCGGAGCAGCAGCTGTTGAGTGGGTACACAAGGTATGGATGGAACAACTGAGGTAAAGATCACAGGAGGGGGGCCTGGTGGGTGAGGGGAGAGGAGTTCCATTTAGAGCACATTGAGTTTAAGAGGCTTCCAGAACACCCAGGGAGATGTGCAGCAGGCAGCTGGATGTAGAAGCTCGCAGCTCAAGAGAGGGATCAGGACCAGGGGCACAGATTCAGGGGTCGGCAGCAGAGAGCTGACAGCTGGTTGTGCTCATCCATTTGATGTTTAAAGGCCCAGAAAGAAGACAGAGGAGGCATAGTCAGAGAGGGAGGAGGAGAGCTGAGAGAGAAGGTCAAGGAAGGCAAGGAGGAGATAATTAACAGCGGCCAATTTAAAAGAGGAGTCCTCCAGGTTAAGGATTGACAAGGCTCCTTGGATTTAGAGGCAGGAAGATCTCTGAGGATCTCATGGGGGGCTGTTTCCGTGAGGCGGTGGGGGCAAAGCCAGATTAGAGTGGATTGGGGAGTGAGTGCGAAGTGAAGCAGACGCAGTAAGTGTAGACAACATTCTGGAAAAAGTTTGGCTCTGAAGGAGAGGAGAGAGGTGGGCGGTAGCTGGAAAGGTTTGCTCAGTGCCCCTAGACAGCAGATCCATGAGTGATATTTTGAGAAAGCCTGAGTTCTCGTCCAACAGCCTGAGTTCTTTAAGATCAGAAATTACGTCTCCCCATCACGACCTCTCCACGGAGTTATGTATCTTTAGCAGGCTTTGGGTTGCAAGCAACAAGATGCCCAACTCAAAGAAGCTTGGATAATGGGGAAGTCTGACTCTCACATAACAGAAGTCTGGAAGGGAGCAGTGCCAGGGCTGGAGCAGCTTCTCAACTGAGTCCTCAAACAGCCAGCCTTTTCCCAACCTTCTGCTCTGCCATGTTGGCCACGTGATGCCAAGACACATGATGTAGCTCCAAGTATCATGGCCTCACCCCTACAAAAGAGGCGTTCCCCTTGTACATCTCTCTTTTTGAGGGAGGAAATTAATCCTCCCGGAAGCCCCCAACAGACTTCCCCTTTGGGATCACTGGCCAAAACAAGGTCATGTTCTACCCAGAGACCAGACACTGCAAAGGAAAAAGGGATGGGCCATGGCTGGCTTACACAAATCATCACCCATTCCCAGGCCCCAGGGGCCAGGGGCTTAGTACCTGGACACATCTGTCAGCAAGAAGAAAGAGACAACGGCTGTCAGGAAGCCCTTTCACAGAGTCTACCAGAGCTTGGCTGCTGGTGTCCCCATCAGACAGGGTGCTAGCTTCCTAAGGGCAAGAACTCTGTCTCCCCATCGGTCAGAAATATCTGGAGCGTAGGTGCTTGTCTCAGACTAGAAGCTTCTGGAGGAGATGGGCTGTGTCTTCTCCCCCAGTGTTCCCACAAGAAGCCATAGGATGTTAACAAACCCCCATCCGGTGTTTATTTTCTTGTGATTTCAGCGAAACAGAACTACTGTAGGAGTCAACTGTGTCAATGTGACAAAACAGCCGCCTCCTGTTTTGCAAAAAACCGGAAGACCTATAGTAAGAAGTATCGGTACTACAAAAACAAGCGGTGCAGCGGGAGCAGCCCCAGGTGCTGAGAGCCCCTTGACCCTGGAAGCCTCGCCACCCGACCCTGAGTGTCCTTCTCCAGCACCCCCACTCCCCACCCTAGCCAAGCTCCTGGCCACGAAGGAGCACCCTCTCGCATCCTAGAGAAGGTGCAGAGCCCAGGAGCCCTTCCAGCCCCAGACAGAAAGAAGCCTTCTATCCAGAATGAGAAGCCCGAAGCCCCGCCCTTTTCCCACCCGGGTCTGCCCTTTCCCCCTGCTTCCTCAGCATTTCCACTCTCCTCCTCCAAGTCCAACTTCCTTCTTAGCGGTAGCAGCTACACTCCCGAGAGGCTCTTCTGAATAAAGCAATTCATTGGCAAACTGTGTGTGAGTCTGTGTGGGTGGGTGTGGGTGTGTGTGCACACACTGCCCCAGGCACTGTTAGAGTGAGAACAAACTGGTACAAGGCCATATGGTGGAAGGGGTTAAAATCCAGATTCAGGAGTCAGACTGGCTGTGTCAAATCCACCCTCTGCCACCTCCCTAAGCCTTAGTTCCCTCATCTAAACAGAGATAATGTCGGTACCAACTGCGTGGGCTTGTTGGATAATTAAAAGAGGTAAGGAATGTCAAGCACTGGGTCTGGCAGGTCTGTGTCTGTCATTATTATTACACGTGGAACCCAGTCATCCTCTCCTTCCCCGGGCGAGGGCAGCTCCTGCTGGCCTGTCGGGGGAAAATAGGAATGACGTTGGTCTTGATGCTCTGGGGAGCTAGAGTCCATATCTTCCGTGTAGCATGTTCCTCTCCTGTGTTGCCAGCCTGGTGAAGGTGGATTGATGTAATACTGGCCACGGGCTGGACCCTCAGGGCATTATCCCCTCATCCAGGGCTGGCTTCCTGGGCATGCGACCTGTGCAGGGTCCTGCAGGGCCCTGTGCTCAGAAAGATCCCGCATCTAGTTTAATGCTGTGCCCCAGCCATCTCGAAATTCTTAATAACATGGAGTCCTGCACTTTATTTTGCACTGGGACCCACAAATTATGTAGCTGGTTTTACCTTCACCTGAATGCTACTTCCCCTCCAGTCATCCAGGGTTCCGTGGGGATATTCCCACCTGGACCAGCTGCACCTCCACCTGATTCTTCACTAACCATCGTCAGGGCTGCTGGGTGTGGGTCTCTGCACAAAGGCACCCTGCTTAGGGGTGCAGGTGGGAGCTGGACCTTAGTCCATGCACGACTCAGCAAGCTCTGCATTCACTCAGAGGTGATGCCTGTCTGTAATTCTTCTTCCCAGAAGGGGTGCCTTTTTCTAATTCTGCACAAAGATGCTTCATTTGCTGCAAGCAGCCCCGATCGTGTTCACTGTCACTCATAATAAGAGAAATGCAAATTTAAACTCCACTGAGATACCATTTTTATCTGTGAGAATAGATAAAAATCCAAAAGTGTGGCAACCTGCTCTAGTGGCAAGGCTGCATAGGGAAATCGTCACTCTCATAGGTGGCTGGTGGGAAGCCAAAATGCCCACAGAGGGCAAATTGGCAATATCGATCAAAACTATAAATGCGTTTATCCTTTGGCTCAGCGACTCCACTTCTGGAAATTTACCCCAAGAATGTACACACACACACACACACACACAAACATATGCACAGTGATCCATGAGCAAGATTTTTATTGCCACATCATTCTGAATTGGGTTGGAAATAATCTAAGTGTCCATGTAGAAAGGACTAGTTAAATAAATACAACCTTAAAATGGAATACACTACATCTGTTTAATGAGGGAAGCTTCCTCTTTTGCAATATAGAAAATCTCCAAGATACGGCAGCAAGTGAAAAGAACAAGAGGAAGGACAGCATAAAAGATGTGCTACATTTGTGTAGGAAAGAGTGGAAATGTGAATATGTATCTGCTAATATTGCCATAAACACGTAAAGAACACACAAGAAGTTAATTAAAATGATTACCTGTGGAACGAGCAGGGCTGGCAGGAAAATGCAGTGGGCACAGATGTCACCAGAGGGAGATTTATCAATATATAATTTTTTTTTAGCTCTATAAATGTATTTCCTATTCAAAAGAAAATTAGCATAATCAACCACACACACACAGACACTAATTCTCAGAGACAATATAGTCTAATCCAGGGATGGGCAAACCAAGCTTGCCAGTCGAATCTATCCACGGCCTGTTTTTGTACAGCTTATAAGCTAAGAATGGTTTTTACATTTTTAATCAGTTGAAAAAAAATCAAAAGAAGAAGAAGATTTTGTGACCGACTAAAATGATATGAAGTTTAAATTTTAGCAGCAATAAATAAAGTTTTATTGTAACACAACCATGATCTTTGGTTTACATATCGTCTACGATGCTTTGATGCTCCGATAGCAGAATTGAATAGTTGCCACAGAGAATGTATGGCCTTTTACAAGAAAAGTTTGCTGATCCCTGGTCTAACCCAGTGCTTCTCAAACTATCCCTGTTCAAGGACCCGTTCTTTTTGTCTTTAATCTGTCTCAGGTCACCACTTTTACAAAATAAAAGACATACACAATACGAACCCAAATGTTTTATTATTCGATTTAACGAACATAAAACTACTCTGTCAAGTTGCTTTGAAATTTCTAAACACTCAATCTCTGTATGTACCTCACCGTGGACGGAAACAGTTCCCAGACCAGCACTGGCCCATGCACCCCACTTTGGGAAACACTGGTCAAACCCATATTGAGGAAGCACAAATGCCCTTGATGTTTCATAATTAGCAATATGTTTCTGCGCTTTGACTTAGTGTAAGTACCACTTATTACTCTGTAGGTAGAATTGCTTCCTTTCCTGCTATCTACCCTCAGGACCCGCTGGAGTGAGGATGGGACCACATTACTCCTCAGTGATTGCTTTTCAGCTTCAAAAGAGAGGCTCTGAAACACCCTTTGAAAAAAAGCCACGATTAAATGCTTGCCAACGGCTTTTCTTTTCTTCTGCCTTGATCTAAGGGAAGGCAAAGGCAGCGACTGACTTGCTCTGTCACCTCTCTCCCTTCAGTGAAGACTCTGCTCTTCCTAATTGAGGATTCTTCCAAGAATATTTTCAGTGTAGGTCTTTATGTGAAAAATTTTGGAGGACTTCTATTCCTAAGAACATTCTTTTTACACTTCACATTGAATACAATTTGAAGGGAAATAATATTCTAGGTTCAATTTTTTTCTTTTATACCTTAGAAATATTCCTCCATTTTCTTTTTGCATTCAACATGGCTGATGAGAAGCCTGATATTAATCTGACTTCCAATCTTTGGTTGGTTATCAGCTTTTCCCTCATTTTTAGAATTTTCCTCTGTCTTTGATGTTCTTAACTTTCACTACCACATGTCCAGTTGTCAGTTTTTCTTTATCTGTCCTGTGTGCATCCTTACATCTTTTCACCTTTCTTTAAGTACAGGAATTTCATATTCATTACTTCTTTGAATATTTCCCTCCATTTTTCCTCTCCTTCTGGGACTTCTATTATCTGGATGTGGGCACATTTCTTCTCCATATCTCTTAGATATTTTTTCCCTATTTTCTCTTTACACTTTCTCCTATGAGGATTTCTCAATCAGAGCCCCTAACTCCCTGTGTCATTCTTCAGCTGGCTATCCCATTTCGACAATGATATTCTTCATATCTAACATTTACACAGGTTTTTTAAAAATGATTTCTTATTCTTGGCTTGTAATGCTAATAACTTCCCTTATCTGCATATGTATATTTAACACGCTTATTTTAATTTCTTGCTCACCCATTCTGACAATTCTATTTCAGATGGAATATGTTGTCAAGTACATTTCCTTCTTTTCTAGTGGGTATAGTCTGTATGCCTCAAGGTGAATTTAGAGAGAGGGGAAGGATGAGTCCTAGATTTCATGATTGCCCATCGCTGCCGCCACAGGCAGGTGCTCTGGTCAGGATTTCATCACTAAACACCTAAGCAGCAGCAGCAGCGGCAGGAAGCCGCATCCCGAGGTTGAAATCAGCCATCCCTGGGATTGGGGGTCAGCGGAGGAGGAGGTGGTGAAGGATGCGATGAAAGAATGAATGCCTGAGAGTAGCCGAGCAGCCTGCATCGTTTTCAACAATTCCTTGCCCGAGCAGATTTTTGGATAGTCCCAATATTAACTCCAGAACTTGAGCATCTTACTTCTGGCTTCTGGGATGAAGAGGCAAAGGGAGAGGAAGAAGAGAGTTTAAGAAGCTTCCTCCCAACCTATCCAGTCCTTGACAAAAGGGGCCAGCCTCTGCTCCGGGACACAGCCAGCCCCTTCTCTGCGACAACCACACCCAGCAGTCGAGATCAGCGTCATATTTCCTGCAGGACCCTGCGTAAGCTCTTTTGTTAGTTCTTCAAATCCAAGCCTCTCTCTCAGGTCTGTAGTTTTGCCAGACTGGTTTTGGCAAAAGGGGACAGCAGTCTTTGCCAGTTTGCTATCTTGGCAAAGGGGGCAGAAGAAAAGGGGAAATATATAGCACAATGTCTTGTGGATAATTTAAAAGCACACATGCAGAGACACTACATATTTTTCACACAACCATATATCTAAATAAATATATGAAGGATAAATCGATAGTGGGGCTGGAGAATGAAGGGAAAAAATGAATAAAATAAAACCACTGTTTTGCAAAAGCCAACGGTAACAGTGTGCCATGAGGAGAAACCATGGTGTAATAGGTTAAGCAATTGGTCAACTCTAAATGCATTTATCTTTTGACTCAGCAGCCCCACTTCTGGAAATATGCCCTATAAGTGCACACACACACACACACACACACACACACTGATGCAGAAGCAGCGTGTGTAAAGGACAGAGAATTGACACCCAGAGCCGTTTTGATCCGAAGTCTGTTCTTTCTACTGCCCACGATGTTAGAACGCTTGACTGGCACGTCAGCGAGAGTGCCAGCCGACACACCGGCCAGCTGGGCCTCTGGGTCCTGGTTTATACAGTCTGGCCAGAATGAAATGCCCATTTTCAATTATTGCTGTCTCTCAGCTATATCAACAGAGATCATGCATAATCCAAAAATCATTTCTGTTTTGCTTTTGTCTTCAATTTTAGGATGGGGTTAAACTGGTGCATCCTGCCTGATAGCAAGTAGAATAAAAGTCAGGTTCACGCTGAGTGGCAGGAAGGTGATCCTCTGAGACGGAAATCTTCTATACATGATGTAATGGAACATTAATTAAGTAGATGCACGAGTGAATGGCGGACTGGGAGCAACTCCAGGATGGAAACTACACCTAGTTCACTGCTAGCTCGGGGCCTGGCCTGGAGGCAGCCACTGCTGAGGGTCCAGGACACAGGCGGGGCTGCAAGAATCTGGGGGGACACACAGA